AAAGAGCTTTGCTTAGGCCTTTTCCTGCCAGGTGTAATTTTGGGAGCTGGATTTTGGGTTCTGTGCCACTAGAGGGAAACCTGTGCATGGGAATGAAGGGAGTCTCAGCTGCTTGATGCTGAAGTAGTGTGGATGGATAAAGCAGAATCCAGTTGCTTCCAGCTGTGTATCCCGGGCAATCTCGTTGGTGTAAGAGGTGTGCTGGTGCATACAAATTATCCAGCTCGGTATTAATGTACTGATGCATGAAACAGGATGTCAGGGGACATGGTTTGTGGTGGCATTGACAGTGCTGGGTGAGCAGTTGGACTTGATGATGTCAGAGGGCTTTTCCAGCGTTAATGGTTCTCTGGTCTCTTTACCCCTTGGAAGAAATGATATCAATTATAGGAGCAATGACAGAATCAGCACCTCAGGAAACAGCCTCATGAGTGCCTTCATATGTTGTCACAACTGAGCTGTGTACACGTGTCCTTTGCTCTGGCTTCTAATAATGGAACAAACGGGGTCATTACAAAGTGTCTGTTCTTTAATTGCTCCAGGAGTGTCCTGGGCTGCATCCAAAGGAGTGTGGGCAGCAGGTTGAAGGAGGTGATTCTCCACCTCTGCTCTGCTCTTCTGAGGCTCCTCCTGGAGTGCTGCCCACAGTGCTGGTGTCCTCAACATAAGAAAGATGTGGAACTGTTGGAGCAAGGCCAGAGGAGGCCACGAAGCTGATCAGAGCACTGGAGCACCTTCCCTATGAGCACAGGCTGAGAGAGTTGGGGCTGTTCAGCCTGGAGAAGAGAAGGTTGTGTGGAGACCTCAGAGCAACCTGCCAGGAGAGCTGAAGGGGCTCCAGGGACTCTTGGTTAAGAACTGCAGGGAGAATGGGGAGAAATTGAAAGAGGGAAATTTAGATTAGGTATTAGGAAGAAGTTTTCCCTGTGAGTGTGGTGAGACACTGGCACAGGTTGCCCAGGGAGGCTGTGGCTGCCCCACATCCAGGTGGGCTGAAGCCTTGAGTAACCTGCTCTGGTGGGAGGTGTCCCTGCCCATGGCAGGGGATTGGGCCTAGATGGTCTCTAAGGTCCATCCCAACCACTTAACATACTATGATTTCCAAATTGCTTCCTTCAGCTCAGGCAGAGGACTCAGAGTGTCATGGAAGAGGTTTGGAGGGAAGTCTGATTTAGTATCATGGAATCCTGGACTGGTTTGGGTTGGTAGGGGCCTTAAAGCCCATCCAGTCCCACCCCCTGCCATGGGCAGGGACACCTTCCACTAGCCCGAGTTGCTCCAAGCCTCATCCAACCTGGCCTGGAACACTCCTAGGGAAGGGGAATTTGCAATCTTCACTTCTTTCATTTTACCCTCCCCATGCTTGGGAAGTTAATCCTTCGTAGAAGTTTCTTGGTCTCTGAGTCTCTCCTGTGTGTGTTTAAGCTGTTCCAAAGGGAATATCTTTATCAGATGCAATTTTCCAACAACTTTTGATATTTTTGTGTGTGTTTAATCTCAGTGAGACTTGTGTGAGTGTTGAAAACCATTGGCCTTGTGGCTTTGCAGCTCCTCTGGTTTCTCTCAGCCCAAGGCTGCCCCAGTGTCCGTGGTGGATCCCATCTCTGTGCCTGAGAGAGCCCCTGGATCAGTCAGGTTGTCAGCACAGGGAGGTAACGGATCTGCTGCCTTCCATTTTAAGAGTGACCTTTAACTCCCCAGACTTTGCAAGCTAACTCCTGCAGGATCCTGCTGGAATCTTGCCTCCCAGGGCCCAGCAGCCTGGCACTGCCCTGCAGATCTGCTTGGCTGGCGACAACACTGCGGGCGCATCCGAGCAGAGGCTGAGATCCTCCTCACCTCTCCTGCCCTCAGGGAGATCCGCATGGATTGATTCATGCTGGGCTTGGTGGGGGATAGCATGGAATGACCAGGAACTGTGCCTGTGGAGAGCAGGAGCTGATAAAGACAAAAACCCTTTTCCAGCCATTTCAGTAAGAGAATTGTGTGTTCGCCGTGACATTGATCCTCCACCACAAGTGCAGGAACACGTCTTCAGTTACAGAACCCACAGTTCAAGGAGCTATTTTTGGGTGCTCAACAGCTTCACTGAACTTGTGTCTAATAGGTGAGGCCATTGCTGTGGCAAGGTTGGGGGTTAATTTTGGTATTTTTGACTTTTTTCAATGCATTTGTCTGGAAAAAGACCATGGAAGACTCTCCTCTGCCTCTGCTGACGGTGCCAACAGCTCCTTACAGTGACCAGAAATCAGGAACCAGTGGATTACGGAGGAAGACCTTTTATTTTGAATCCAAGATGAACTATTTGCAGAACTTTATCCAGAGTATATTTTATTCCATAGACCTAAGGGATCGACAGGGATCTTCCATGGTGGTTGGAGGTGATGGGAGGTACCTCAATAAGTCTGCAGTGGAACTCATAGTCCAAATGGCTGCTGCCAACGGGGTTGGTAAATGTTCCGTGCCTAAATTTCTCTTGTTGTGTGGCTGAGAAATGCAGAAACCCCTAATAAATAAGGGTCACTGTAAGATTTAATTTCCCCAAAGGCTTTATTCAACTGCTAATAGTTAACTTTGTAGTGGCAAATCATTTTGGCAGCACAGAAACGAGTGTTTTTGCACCTTAAGTGATGCACATGCAGCAAGGAGAAGAAATACTGCTTGGGTTTGTGTGCTCTGGCTTTGTGTTTTGACGTGCCCCAAGCTGTTGGCACCTGTAGATTTTGTAGCCTCTCCATGAGGATATAAACCCCTGATATTGTTCAGAAGTGAAGTCACAGGGAGAGCCACAGATGGCTGTTCTGTGGCAAAGGAAAAGGCAAAATGAGGTTGTTTCTTTCTCACCAGGTGTAAGTTGTGGCTGTGTGATAAGTACTGCAGGAGCCTTTGGAAATTGAAATGAGAGTTAGCAAGTGAGTGGCAAGTTTCATATGGATCTCAGTTGTGCTTTGGAAGCAGAACAGGTTTGTCTGTTTGGGGTAGATCGTGGTTTGAGCACTGCAAGGCTCATGGGCACTGGGGTTTGGCTATGTTTTCTTCAGCTTTTTAAGAAGCAAAGACTCCGCTGTCTGCCCCGATCTCTTATGCAAAGTTTACTCTAAGAGACCTGGATCTCAGGAATTTGTTTGACAAAAAATAGCTTACCTGATGAGAACAGTGTAATTAGTGGTGAATGGGAAGAGAGAATTTTATTTATTTATTTTTAAAATGGACATATTTTCCATCTTGGGGGGAAAAAACTCATTTGGCATTGCAAATCAATGTATGGGCTGAGCAGAAGAGCTGGAAAACCTGCACACAGAGCCAGGTTTGGACTGCTTGACACCAGGACAGGTTTCCTGCTGGTAAAGGTGACATCAGGCTGATCTTCACCAGCTGAGATGTTTCCCTCCAACAGTGTGGTTCAGACCTGGCTAAAATCTGTTTTATCTGCTGGGTTTTGGTGGATTTTTGTGGATTGTTTTATTCAGTCTGGTGCTACATGTGGCTGTCAGTGTTGTGCTCTAACAGGCAGTGTGTAGGATTAGTGACGAGTGAGGCATCCTGCACACAGAGGACTGGAGGGCTGTGATGGTGTCATGATGGAGCTGTGGCCATCAGCTTCCTGGGCCTGAAAAAGCTGTTTCCAGTGTTCCTAGGGGGAAAAGAGGGACTGCAGGAGGTCTCCTTAATTCCCTGTGTGCATCTTAGTTGGGCTCCAAGGGTGGAAGTGTTGCCTGGATTGCCTCAAAGTCCTGTAACCCAAAATTGCTGCACCATGTGGGTCTGTTCTGAGAATTCCATGGAAGGTGTTTCTCTGTCATTGCATCCGTAGAGTTCTCTCATTAGAAATTCCAGAGAATCCAAAATGATGAAGTGAGAATTGTTCAGCACATTGTTACACTGAGCAGGCTTTTCCTGTGGTTGCCACAAAGGGTTTAGCATTGGATGGGTGGGGAATGACAACTGAAAACCTCTGGAAGTCGAGGAGGATCCCAAATCAGAGAGCAGCTCCTATGGAGACAAGTGTTCCTTTCCTTCCTCAGTGTAGGAAAAGCTGCAGTTCAGGTGTGCAGGGAGGACAGACTGGGTGAGGACAAGGGATTTGATGTGTTCATCCAGCTCTCCTGGGGCTGCTGTGTGGTTTGGGAGGGAAAATCCCTTGTTTTCCCAGCCCTCCACAGCATCCCTTGAGCTGCACATGAGGCCTGGCAGAGCAGTGATGCAGGGGGATGTTGTGGCTGAATGTGATCCTCAAAGGGAAAGTGGGGAGCAAAGGGTGAAGTTTTGGAGAGGAGCTTCCTGGAAACTGCATTAATTCTTGCTGAAGCTGAAGGAGCAAGATTTGGAGGCTGGAATAAAGCACAGGACAAGGTTTGCTGGCTTGGACTGAGAATGGAGCAAAACCCTGTGTAGGTTGGGCTGGTAGGTAAGGCACAGTGAGGGCTCTAACATCAGAGCTGTGGCCAGCTGAAAGCAGGGCCCTCACTTTGGGTTCGTAAACTGCTGTTTCAGGTTTATGCTTGTTATTTGCTAGAGGTGCAGATCTCCTAGCAGCTGCTCTATGACAGCTGTACCATGTAATAACTGATGGGCAGCGAGGCAGGGGCTTAGCACCCAGCAGTGCCATGGGACAAGAATCGCAGCCATCCAGTGCCCTTGGCTCAGCTCCCTCTAGGAATGCTCCTCTTGATTTCTGGTTTGTCTTGTGTTTGAATGAAATCCCTTCTCTTTTCTCAGTCTGCTCTGGGTCTGATCTCCTTGGCTGATGCAGAGGAGTCTGGTATGTGTTTAAATCTCTGTCACCTCATTTGGGGGCTGTGGTAGGAGTTTGTTCTTCCAGAGAAATATTCATCATCCAGTAAGCAGGTCCTGATCTCCATGTATTGCTTAGCACATTGCTCTGGCTTCTAATTCTGCTATTCCTAAAGGAGGTGAGTTGCTGTGAGTAAGACTCTGCAGCTACTCCCATGGTAGCCACGATGTTCAGTTTTTGTATTGTTTTGGCTTCTGCCCACGCCACGAGTGTTTTGAAAGCAAAGTTCAAGACCCACAGCCAGAAGGGTTGGTTGTTTTGGTTGTTTAGATGCCTCTGGAGAGCTCAGCTCTTCAGTGTGAGCTCCCATATCCAGCTGAGCTGCAGCATTTCTAAAGGGAAATGCTACCAAGGCACCACAGAGCAGGGGCAGGTGCTGCCTGTGCTGTGCACCACAGAGATCTCCTCCAGCCTCTCAGGAGCAAGGAGAGACACCACCTCTGCATCCATAAACCACCAGGGCTTGGGGTTACCTGTGGCATTTGGGAGTTGGTGGGTTTGGGGATTTGGGCCTGACAGTGGTTTGTTTTGCTGTTGCACCCTCAGATCGGGCGCTTGGTCATCGGGCAGAATGGTATCCTGTCCACCCCTGCCGTGTCCTGCATCATCAGGAAGATCAAAGCCATTGGGGGCATCATCCTCACAGCCAGCCACAACCCTGGGGGCCCCAATGGGGACTTTGGCATCAAGTTCAATATTGCCAATGGAGGTGAGGTTGTTTGGCTCATTTCAATTTGCTTTATTTCTGATTATTTCTGTTGTTTCTTGTATTGACCCCAAGGAACCCAATTTGTGTTGTAATATCTCAGTGCCCTGAGCAGTGCTTTCCCTAAACAAAGCAAGTGACTGCCTTCTCTTCTCATACCCTGTTATTCCTCTCCTGGGGAGTTATTCTCAGCCCCAGGTCTTTGCTGGATTTCTGAAGTGCAACTCCTCTTGCAGTTAGATCCTTTAATGTCTTCTCTCCTGCCCATTTCACTTTTCAGGTCCTGCTCCTGAAGGCATCACTGATAAAATCTTCCAAATCAGCAAGAAAATTGAGGAGTATGCCATCTGCCCAGATCTCCAGGTGGATTTGAGCACCATTGGGAAACAGCAGTTTGACTTGGAGAACAAATTTAAACCATTTACAGGTAAACAAATGTTCTTTGTCTTGGAAAGCACAAGGAAATTTGGTGTTTCTGAGGGGACATGTGGCCATTGTGACCTCTCCTCCTCATCTGGTGGATAATCCAAGGAGGACATTGCTCCTGGTCATCCTGACATTTATTTATGGTTTGTTCTGGCCTGGAATTTACCTTGTGTAGGCTAATTATATCAGTTCCTGTCCTACAAAAGGACAAAATCGCACTCTCCAGGTAAGTGGAGTGGGACTGAGCCCTCTTGGAAGAAGTCCAGGGAGGTGGGAACAGAGTTTGCCTTAAGGATTTTGTTGGTCCACTTGGTCTGTGACCTGATGAGCAGAGACAGCCTGTGATTAAATTCTTCATTTAGCACCTTTATTATTGCCTGTATGGCATGACTCTCTGGGATGTTTGAGGGCTTTATGCTGAGCCCTGGCCCTGTGCACTGAAGACCATCACCACAGGGCCACGTGTGCCAGAAGTACTTTGCTCCCAAGATTTCAGGCTGTGAGAGTTGTTCTCTGTTTATTTTCTTTTCCAGTGGAAATTGTGGACTCTGTAGAAGCTTATGCAAACATGCTGAGGAACATCTTTGACTTCAATGCCTTAAAGGAGCTGCTGTCAGGGAAAAACCACCTCAAGATTCGCATAGATGCTATGCACGGAGGTATGCACAGCTGGATTTGGGGCTTGGGGCACTGGGGGGGGTCAGGTGACCCCAGGGCTTTGCCACCTACCTCAGAGAGAAAGATTTTCCTTGGAATTTATATTCATCACTTGTAAATTTGTTGGATTTTTTTTGTTTTGTAGCATTTTTGCAAGTTAACTTTTGATGGCTTTATGTTCTTTTCTTTTGGGAGTTGGAACAAAATGATCTTTAGGGTCCTTTTCAATCCAAACTATTCTGGGATTCCATGAAATGTTTGGGCTTGAAGTTGCCCTGGGGCAGAGATATCAGTGGGGTTTGGGGGAATGCTGTAGGGCTCACACATGTCAGTCAGCACCTGAGAGACAGGAGGTGAGCACTGATGCTGTGTTCTGACTGTACACCAGTCAGTGTCCCGTGGAGGCCACAGCAATTAGGCAAAGATCTGCCCATAGATATTTAAGCACAAAAATGGGACCATTAAACTGTTTTATATAATTTAATATATCAGCCAAACTTGTGAGTCTCTTTCAACACACATTTTTTGGGAGCACCATGGCTTCGTTAGCATCTTGTTCCTCTTGTCTCCAAACAAACGTTCCTATGTTCACTTATTTTTTTCCTGTCTTCATTACTAGTGTCTGAGAGCCTTAAATCCTGTTGCTCTGCTGGGGATCAGTGACTCACACGTGCATTTTGTTCTGTTACATGTGGCAGTTACACTCACACCTCAGTGCTCTTGGGGCATAAACCCTTCCCAGCAGGGTCCTGGCTCCTAAACCTACGAGTGGTTTCACTTATGTAGTGGGAAAACCCTTCAGCTGAAAAACGTGCTTTGGCAAGGGCTTGTGTGCCTGGATGGGTCAGGCTTGAGCACTCCTGTGGCTGGAGAGAATCCCAGGCTGGTATGGGTTGGGAGGGACCTTAGAGCTCATCTCATCCCACCCCCTGCCATGGGCAGGGACACCTTCCACTAGCCCAGGTTGCTCCAAACCCCATCCAGCCTGGCCTGGAACACTCCCAGGGATGGATTTTGATGTGATCTCCTGTGCCCTAGTGCCATAAACCACATAAACTGACCCAAACTGAGCAGCCCAGAGGTGGGTGGTGATGTGGCTGGCACAGAGCTGCCTGAGGGCAGAGGCTGACTCATTTCTCTCTATGTTTTGCTGTGATAGTTGTGGGCCCTTACGTGAAGAAGATCCTGTGTGAGGAGCTGGGAGCCCCAGCAAATTCAGCTGTGAACTGCACTCCACTGGAGGACTTTGGGGGACACCACCCTGACCCAAACTTAACCTATGCTGCTGACCTGGTGCAGACCATGAAGACAGGAGAGTATGACTTTGGAGCTGCCTTTGATGGAGATGGGGTAAAGCAGCTGTTCTGTACTCAGCTATTCTGTATTCCTCTTCTTTCCCTTTAGCCAGCTGTGGGGCTGATGCTTAGCTGATTTTAAGCAGTGGATGAAGCAAAGACCTTTTTTCTCCCTCTCTAATCATGAATGGAAGCGAAGCACTTGCTGCAGTTTGTTGCCACCACAGCAATACTTGGCTACTGTGTCAATAAAGAAGTCCAAACTGTCCTTAAACAGCTTTAAAGGCTGTGAAAACCCAGCAGGAAGGCGAAACACTCTCCAGGTGTTGCCATTTAACTGTTTCAAAGCTCTGCGTTTATTCCAGTGTAGCCACAAGATCTCTGGGAGCTGTTTGGTTTCTGGGCTGTGCCTGCCAAGCCCAGCAGCTCCTGCCGTGTGCTGAGCAGGGAGAGGAGCTGATCCCCTCTTGTCCTCCTCCCCAGGATCGGAACATGATTCTCGGCAAACACGGCTTCTTTGTCAACCCTTCCGATTCCGTCGCCGTCATCGCTGCCAACATTATGAGTATCCCATATTTCCAGCAGACTGGAGTCCGAGGCTTTGCCAGGAGCATGCCCACCAGTGGGGCTCTGGACAGGTACCTGTGTGCAGCTGGGAGAGGGGAGGGAGCTCTGCCAAGGGGAGGGGATGTCCCTGTGTTGGGGAGTGTGTGCGTGGGCCAGTGAGTGAGGCAGTGCCAGGGCTGCCCTGGGCTGGCTGCCAGGGCAGGCAGGGAGCTTTAATGGACTCAGTCCTGTCTGACATGGCAGACTTGGCCTGTGCTCTTGGCACTTTCTCTTCTCTACAGATAAACCTAAAGAATGGCCTTCCCCACCCTTTTTTTTCCTTCACTTTGATAGTGATACTTTCTTCATTAAATACTTTGAGATCCACAACTTAAAATTGCTTTAGAAGAGCTGTGTGTTTATATTAATTCTCTAATTGCATATCCCACCCATTTCCCAAACATTACATTGGGATAAAATGGAGGAATGCAGCAAGCAAGGAATTTTGCTGTACAGACCACCCAGCAGTGGCATTCCCTGCCTTCAGTGTCACCCCAAGGGTGATGCTGCTTCTGCAGTATCTCACATGGGAGCATCAAGAACCTGTCTGTGATATGACTTGGCCTTTTTGCCTTTGCAGGGTGGCCCAGGCTGCAAAGATTGCTTTGTATGAGACTCCAACTGGCTGGAAGTTCTTTGGAAACCTGATGGATGCAAACAAACTGTCTCTGTGTGGAGAGGAAAGTTTTGGGACTGGTAAGTCAGCGTTGCTGCTATCACCTATGATGGTGTTATTCCTCCTCTTAGCTCTTCATTCTTTATAGCTTGGGATTTATCTTTCATCTGTGGTTGTTGATGCTTTTGAAATATTGAAATATAAAAAAGGCTTGGAAGAATCAGTGATGGAAATGAACACAATGCTAAAGGTTTTGCGAGCCAATTTTCCTTCACTTCTTCATGAAGGCACGTGGAGACAAGCAGGAAGTCTAAGGGCCTCTTTGCTAGCCTGGTCATCGAGTCTCTGGGGGTTAAATGTAACGTTAAATGTATTTTTCAACTCTTGGTGGCCAGGAAAACTTTCTAAATGTTTTCATTTCTGGCAAGAAATATGGTTTGGAGCATGGAGTTTTATTAGGGAAGGTTTCAGGTCACTATTAAATCTCGCAGCTTAATAGGGCCCTCGTTTTCCTGGGCTAGAAACAAGGTATGATTTATAAAGCTTAAATTAACACTTGCCTTTGAACAGGCTGAGCAAGTTATTGGGTTACTGGGAAACAAAGTGAACATCTTAAGGAATTTACTAGGGCTGTGCATGTGACACACAACTGCTATTTGTGCAGGGAAGTTAAAGGGAGCAGATTTTGCTCTGTGTAGGAGCGACGTGCTTAGAACACTCAGTATTCCTGGGAGGCCTCAGCAGCTTGAGCTGTCCCATGGCATCTACCACATGGTGTTATGTCCTGACACTGGAAACTGGACCTTCCCTGCAGGCAGCACTTGATTCCTGTACAAAAGCTGAGTCTGAATTCACCAGAGATCTTGTTTTTCCTGTTCTCTGAAGATCTCTGGTGGAATATGCCAGGCGCAGGGGCTTGAGGGAATTTGGATTATTTCACACTCAAACCTTGTGTGTTTTCACTCCATCACTCCAGGAAACATTTCAGCCGTTGTGGGTGCCTTGAATCCCCCCAATGTCTGAAGTGCAGTGCTTTGTGGAGCTGGGGTGCACAGCTTGACAGGAAAGGATTACCCCAGCTTTCCTGGGGCTGAGGCAGTGGGATCACAGGCTCTGGCTGAAAGCAGGTTGCTGTGGAGCTGAGCAGTCTCCAGTGGCAATATTTGTGCTGTCAGATGCTGTTCTGATACACTAGATTTGGCCTCAGGTTGGAAGGAAAGGGGAATTTCAGGAAATGTGGTGTGTCTGTAAAGAAATCTTGAAGTAAATTGTGAGTAAAGAAAGAGTTTGGAGTTTTGCCCTGAGTGATTTCAGCATGAGTTAGCTGAGTTTACATCCTGGACCTTGGCTAATGAGAGGGCACTGGTGCTTCAGGAAATAAAGAGAAGCAAAAAGCAGCAAATGAACTGCTGATGGCAGATGGTCTCTAATGAGCTCTCCAAAACTGTTTCCACCTTTGATTGTGCAAGCAATAAGCTCTGAGTTTCTCTCCATCCCCAGCAGGTAAGTGACTACCTCACAAATAAAAGGGACTGATTCCAGTTGCAGCAGGGGCTGAGGGAGAGGTTTGGGATTTGTCCAGCCAGCATCACAACTGAGTGGTCAGGGGAGGAAGCAGTTTGGGGGGAACAGAATAGAAAAGGGCCCAGGAGCATTGGACTTCCCTCACAATGCAAAGGAGTTTGTCCATCTGGCAAATGCACTTAGGAATGAAAAAGCAATGAAAAGGGGTGAGGAAGGTTGGTTGATAGGAAGTTAATGAGTTGTTTGGAGCGGGCCAGAATGTGAGTGTTGAAGGGGAGAGAGGTGAAGGAGCAGCCAAATAGGCCCAGTAAAAATTGACCCAAACTGCGAGCCGGTGGGACTGGAGTCCAGGAGCAATTAGGGTAATGCAACATGACAGAATTCCTGCCTGCTTCCTTGGGTATTTTATTCCAGCCAGAAGTTGATACATCACATGGGACTGGTGTTTATTTAGCATTCCTCTCCATCACCTCTGCCCAGCTCTCCCTGCCATCAGGGACCATGGGGATAATTTATGGCTGTGTCCACAATAGTGGGGTTTGTGCAAGGCTCCACGCAACCTCTGCCCAGCCCCCAGCCCTTTCCCCAGAGCATTCCCACTCTGGCAGTGCTTGAGTGGGTGACATGGATTGCTCTCTGCATTAGCAGGCCTACCCTGGCTCCTTGGAATTTCATTAACACCTCTGGTTTTCCAGGGTGGAAGGGAGAAAACGTTGCATCTGTGGGGCACAGAGCTGAACTGCCAGGGCAGAAGCACAGTGTGGGTTGGTGTATTCTGGGTGCCATCTGATCCCTTAGTTACTTTGGGTGCTCAGGGTGGCTGCAGCACACTCTCAGGTTTCCTGAGGGCTTAGGGCTGTGCAGTCCCCATCCCACTGCTGTGAGCTCCAGTGTGCACCCAGGGCAAGGCTGGGTGGGCTCCAGCAGCTTCTTGCTCTCCCTGCAGTGCTTGCTTTGAGGGTACCAAGAATGGGAAGCAACAGGCACAAACTGATGCACAGGAAGTTCCACTTAAACATGAGGAAGAACCTCTTCCCTGTGCAGTGACCGAGCACTGAACAGATTGATCAGAGAGGATGTGGAGTGTCCCTCACTGGAGATAGTCAAAAACCTGGATGCAATCCTGTGCCACATGCTCTGGGCTGACCTTGCTTAAGCAGGGAGCTGGGACCAGATGACCCACTGTGGTCCCTTCCATCCTGACCCATTCTAGGACTCTGAATCCTTCTCTGGTCCAAACAGGACATTTTTGAGCCCCTCAGTTCCTGGAGTGTGGGAGCCAGAGCAGGCTGAAGCCTCTCCTGGTCTTCACAGGTGGATGAGGTGTCTCTTTGCTCTGCTGTTTGCCAGCGCTGTGGCTGGTGCTGTTGGACTTGCTGCTCCTCTCCCCATTCTGGAGTAATTTTGGAGTGATTAGGGTTTGGTTCTCCAGGAGGGCTGACATTTGCCTTGGTGCTGGGCCAGGATATGTGCTGATCCGAGCGTGCTGTTTGGCAGACTGAAGGTGACAGCTGCTGAGGAGGTTGATGTTATCCTTCCTGAGCTGCTCCTTTGCAATTGCTTTTCTTTTTATTTATTTGATGACCTTTTTACTGTGCATTCCCCATTCCTTCCTTGGGAACAGAGTTAAGGGTCTGTGAACAATGAGTGCGTGTGTTAAAAGGGGCTGAATGTTTTACTTGGGTTGCAGCTAAAAGCAGATGATATCTTGGACTGTTGTGACCATGCAGCAGGGCTGGAGCTGTGCAATGCCTTCCATGTGGGAGCCTGTCAGGCTGCCATTTGGATGGAGGAGAGGACACAAGGTAGGGCTGTAGAACAGACTCTGGTGTGAAAGGAGTGGGAACTGTACTTGTGCTGTGGCTCTCTGCAGGGTCTGACCACATCCGTGAGAAGGACGGACTGTGGGCTGTCCTGGCCTGGCTCTCCATCCTGGCCTCCCGCAAGCAGAGTGTGGAGGACATCATGAAGGATCATTGGCAGAAGTATGGCAGGAACTTCTTCACCAGGTGAGGAAAGCACTCCTGACACCTCACACTTCCTTCTGTCCTGTGTCTGACCCTCCGAGGTCAGTGATTGCATTGATGGCACCAGAATGTGTCACCGTGGGGCTGATCCTGCCTCATTCCACTTGCTGCTTCTCTGGGAGTAGGTTAAACTCCCTGAGCAGCTTGCAGCATCCCTAGGGTACATGAAACTGGCAATGTTTACCAAAACCTTCTACCATGTCCAGTTAAGTTTGTTGTTCTGGACGTAATTCTAGTACGTAAAAGAGTTTGCCGAGGCTGCACATTTTATTCTTGTAAGGTATCTCTTCTCTTTTAATGGAAATTTTTTCTTCCAAGAGTTATTTGCCATTGGATCAGTATTCTTGAGGCCCCAAACAACAAGTTAGTTTGTGATCTCTTCAGTGACAGCAGTGTCTTATTGAGTGCCCAGCTCCTAGGCTGTTACTCAGTTAGCTGAGTTTCTGTCCAGTCCCAAAATACTCCCAATTTAACCTGCAGTTCCTGCAGTAGACATGGAACATGGAAAGGGAAGGAGTGAGAACCAATCTGCACACATGCAGAGGTGGGAATGCATCTGGAGCGAAAGCATTAGGCAGAAATCTTTCAGCTTGGAAGACCTACATGAAAATTCCATCTCAAATCACCCAGTGAAAGAACATGTCTTTTCCTTTTTAGTTTTTTCTTCTTTCCTTTTCTCCCAACACCACAAAGCCAGCACATACCTGAGGCACGCTAACCTGGGGGAAAATGCCAAAATCTAGGAAAAAAGGCATCCTTTTAGCACCCGAGATGTATGTGTAGAGCACACTGAGTGCAGGGGCAGGAGGGTCAGGCAGCCTGGATGTGCTCCGTGAGCCAGCCGGCAAATACAGCGGCACAAATTGTGCTGGCAGTCGGAGTCCAGAGTCTGGGATCCCACAGTGTGCTCCAGCTGCTCTGCTGCCTCTCTTACCCATGTGTAGATCAAAGCTGGCACTGGGATGTTATCCTGGTGCAGTGACAGCTGCTGTTTGCTGTGGGATGCACACAAGGATGTTGAGCATGAGGGACCTGTTGAGATGCTGTTGGCAGAGTTACAGTGAGTTTTTCACAGTCAGTGTTGGAGCCTGTCCTGGTCTGAGATACTCCTGGTGTGAGGCAGCACTTTGTGCTCTCATCTCCTTACACCAAGTGCCTGTGATATACAATCATAGAACCATCAAGTTTGGAAGAAACCTCTAAGATCATCAAGTCCAACCATTAACCTGTCTCTGCTGTAACCCCTGAACCCCAAACCATATCCTCCAGCCCCAGATCCAGACACCTCTTAAACACCTCTAGAGATGGTGACTCCACCACCTTCCTGGGCAACCTATTCCAGGGCCTGACCAAGTGTGCAGTGTATCCCACGGATCTGTGTTGGATGTAGCTGTAGTGCTGCATCTTCATAGAATCCCAGAATGGTTTGGGTTGGGAAGGACCTTAAAGCTCCCCTCATCCCCCCCCTGCCATGGGCAGAGACACCTTCCACTAGCCCAGGTTGCTCCAAGCCCTGTCCAGCCTGGCCCTGAATACTGCCAGGGATGGAGCAGCCACAGATTCTCTGGACAACCTGTTCCTGTGCTTTTATGTGTCTTTTCCTGTCCTCACCTCCAGTGTTCATAAAGGCATCACAAATCATTGCAGCTCATGGCATTCTCCCCTCCCTTATGTGTGTGTGCCTGGCTGTAGGTATGACTATGAGGAGGTGGATGCAGATGCAGCCAACAAGATGATGAAGGATTTGGAGACAGTGATGTTTGACCGCTCCTTCGTGGGGAAGCAGCTGTCCTCTGGTGACAAAGTGTACACAGTGGAGAAAGCTGATAACTTCGAGTACAACGATCCTGTGGATGGAAGTGTCTCCAGAAACCAGGTGGGGACGGCCTCACCTGGGCTGAATAGGAGCATTTTCCTTCTGTGCTCTTTCATGGATGAGCAGTATGTTGGGAATGCTGTGTCTGGCAGTCAGGCCCTGGCTCTTGTTTCCTGGCATGTGCTGGGGTGAGGAACCTCCCAGCAGCGACGCGCTTGGTGTTCACGAGCTCTAGCAGGTTCTCCAGAGGGGGTTAGGAGGGACAGTCATCTCTCTGGGATGGTGCAGGTTGGGCATATCTGAGTTTCATAGAAAATACCTTGGATACCCAAGAGGACAGAGCTGAGAGGCTCTTCCCTCCCCTTCTCCTTGCCCAGGGCTTGCGGCTTATCTTCTCCGATGGCTCCCGCATCATCTTCCGGCTGAGCGGCACCGGCAGCGCTGGAGCCACCGTGCGGCTCTACATCGACAGCTACGAGAAGGATGCTCAGAAGATACATCAAGACCCACAGGTGGGTGTCACATCTCAGTGCTGGCACTGCTGGCTCCCAGCCTTCCTCCAAAGCCAACCCTTTGCTTAGCACTGCTTTGCATGGACTAATGTGGAGGAGTCAGGGATTTGGGAGCTTTGGTATCTTTAATCCCAGGAGAAAGAGATGTATTGAAAAAGAAGCTCTGTGTGGAGCAAGTGTTACTGAGAATCCCTCATAGGTGCCTCTGCCATCACACATGACTTCTCCTGCCTGTGTTACACCTGTGGCTGGTTGCAGGTATGAGAGATGCTGTTTCAGGCCTGAACTGACCTTCTAGTTGAGATGTTGAATCATTAGGGATAAAAATGAGCTAATTCCTCTACCCAGTTTGGGAAATGCTTGTTTAAAACAAATAAATGGGGGGAACAAGATGCAGTTGAACTTAAGATGAGACTGACCTGTGCTATACTGGGCTCAGTACATGTTCTTTAAGGCCTCATTTCCAAATGCTGCTGATCTCTCATAGGCATGGGAGGAAAACAGTCCTCCTTTCATATCCCCCAGCAAACACACTGAGCAATTTGTGCATAACTTACAGAGCCATTATTGACAGAAAGTCTAAAAACCACGTTCTGAGGGACACAAACTGAACTTAGGGTTTACCTGTCCTGCGCTGATGTGCAATGGAGTTTGGAGTACAGCACAGGGAGGGGGACAGCAGCAGCACCAGAGCTGAGCTTGGGATTTCTCTCTGAACACCACATCCCTCTCACTGGTCCCACAGCTCATGTTGTGAACCCAGAAGAGTCCTGGAGAGCTGAGCTTTGGGTGTCCTGGGCTGACCCACCTGCCTTTGAGGGGAGGCTGAATGTGGTGTGTGTGTGCTGCAGTGGTTCTGAGCCATCTCTCTCCTCCCTGCAGGTGATGTTGGCCCCTCTGATTTCCATTGCACTGAAACTCTCACAGCTCCACGAAAGAACTGGCCGCAGTGGTCCCACCGTCATCACATAGAGCCACACTGTGCTGGAGTCACCCTGGGGAAGAAGTCAGCCTGTGTCCCCTTTTTTTGTCAAATCTGTCACTAAAAGAGGAATATTAATTTTGTGCCTGTATTTAAGACACTGTTGAGCTGCAAAGGATAGACAATAAACCCCAACCCCTCAGCACTCTGTGTCCCCTTGCTGTGCTGCTTCTCTGTGTCTCCAGCGCTGCCGGAGGGTTGTGTGGTGCTCATGGCACAGCCTTTGGGGCAGCACATGGACTCGTGGCTTTTCCTTAAACAAAAGGCTCTAGAAATAACAAAGAGACAAAATTCTTCAATAATTCAGAGGCTTTCTTTTAAATTTTCCTGGCAAAGAAGCACTTTATCCTTGTTAATATGTGGTCCTTTAATGAGCAGTGGCTGAGTGTTAAAGCAGTGTATTTTTCACTCAGGTGGATTTTCCAGTTGTCTTCTGTACAAGAAAACCCTCACAACACACTCTCCATGCAGAAATCAGCAATAAGGAGCATTGCAGGATGCTAAAGTGCAGATCTACGTCCTGGTAGGCTCCCAAAAAGGTGGTTTTGATGAGCTTGTTTGGTTGAACATGGATAGTAAGAGCCTTGAATAATCAGATTTGCAGGCATTTGTGTGCAATATCCAAGGGCACAGAGAGGGTCACTGTGGAGACAGTTGTAGCTGTTTGATGTTAGGGCTGTGCAGCACCTTCCTACCCTTCTCCTGGAAGTACTGTCATCAATGGGGATGAGTTGAAGTGACTGCCCCCAGTCTTTGTCACCCAAATCCTGCAACCCTGTGTCCCATCTCACCTTCCACCCTGGCTGGGCTCAGCTGAAACTCAGAATGAGCCCCTGGGCAGGCCTGAGGGGAGCAGCTCTGTTATCCAGGCATGTGGAACATCCCAGCCTCAACAGGATGCTGCCAGCACCACTTCTGAGGGAGAATGGAAGTGCTGACAAAATGTTTTTCTCTCACCTGTGCAGAGGTGTGGTGTTTCCTCTGCTCCATCCACACTAAGAGTTTTGCTGGTGGAGCTGCTTTGGTGTGAGGTGTAGAAACCCCCCAGACCTCACAGCTTGTTGCTGCTTGTTGTCTGCCTGAGCCCTGGTGCTGGATGCCACTGGGTTGGGGGCACAGAGCTCCTGTACCCCCATCTCCCAGTCCAGACATACCCATGGGATACACACACATGTGGCCCAGAAACATTTGCTCTCTCTGTCAGCAAAGAATAAACTAGAAAACAACGTAAATCTGTGATTAGAAAGTACTCCAAGAGACCACAGAATTTACATTTGCACCACTGAGCTTCATCTGATTTGATTATAAAAACCAACTGGAAATCCAAATAGGGCAGTTTGTAAATGGTGTTAGTGCCCTAAAGCTGCTTGATAAAATGATCTAGGTCAGGCTTAGGGTAAAGAGAAGACAGAGATGTTAATCAAGGCTAAAAAGTGAGGTTAGGACCCAGGAAAAGCCTGTGGTGGCGGGAGAGCTGTGTTTTCCATCCATGGTCCTGTGCTTGCCTAGCACTTCCCTTGGCAGGATGGAGTCCTGGAGGTTTCCCTCATGGCTGGATGCAGAGCACTAACCAGCAAGCTGGGATTATTGGGGGGAAACAATTTGGCTGCTCTAATTTGCCTTTTAAGCATTCCATGAACAAGTGACCCCAGAGTTTATGGTTGGCCTCTTGCTAAAGCAGGTCAGGCCTGGGGTCCTGCTGACAGAACTGTGAGTGCTTTTCAGTTAAACTGTGCTAAAAGCTGCTCTCTGCCCACACTGGTACTGCTGGTGCTGACAGCTCTCTGGTGGCACATAGCTCTCCTCTCCAGGAGGGGATGATGAGATGAATGAACTCCACTTATTTCAGCATCTTCAGAACTTGAGGTGTTTGCCTGTGCTCTCATAGCTTTATTTCTGCTCAGTTCCTCTAGCTGCTCCTTCCACCACTCCTGCATGTGCTGCAAAGGAGCCCAGAGTGTTCCCCACATTGATACCTGTCCCTATGACAATTTGTGCCTGTGCAGCTCTTGCCTGTTCAGCTCATAGGATTTGGAGCCTTGTGTGGGATGGGGAGATGCTCTTAAAACTCCCTGCCAGGAGGTGCAACCAGGTGAGGTCAGGCTCTGCTCCCAGGGAACATGGGACAGGACAAGAGGAGACGGCCTCAAGTTGCACCAGGGGAGGTTTACATTGGCTATTAGGGGAAATTCCTTCCTGGAAAGGACTATCCAGCCCTGGCACAGTTGCCCAGGGCAGTGGTGGAGTGACCATCCCTGCAGGGATTTAAAAGCTGTGTGGATGTGACACTTGGGGACATGGCTAGTGGTGGCCTTGGCAGTGCTGGGGGAATAGTTGGACTTGGTCTTAGAGGGCTTTTCCAACCTAAATGATTCTGTGGCTACAGACCAAAGATCCCTCTTGGGAAAGCCCTGGGGATTTCCCTGCTGGGTCACTGAGTGGGATGTAACTCTTGGCAGCTGCTGAAGTACCAGCAAATCCCTGACTGGGCAACAAACGAAGGGAAAGTGGCTGATGGGTGAGGATAACCAGTGTTGCTCCGGGTGTGGGAGGCTTCTGATATTTGTTTAGTTATGATTTTCTCAGGAAATCTACTTTTACCTCTGGGTTAGATTCCAGCAGATCCCTTCCCACTCAGTGACTGTGTGCAGGAACTCGGAAGCATGGTCGGTCCATGAGATACTTAATGTCTGCCTGTGCCAAAGCCATGGTGATGGAGGGGTTTGGAGCCTCAGCCCCTCTGTAGATGGAGATTTGCTTGAAAAATCACTCCTGCTCTTTCTCTGCTTCTCTGCAAGCTACAGCTCAGGACTCCTGTCCCAGAGAAGCTCGATTAGATCTGGATGTCTCCCTGGCTGTATGCATTTTACTCTTCACCCATCATGTATGTAGTGCAGGATCCCATGTCTACATGGTTTGCTCTGCACAGCAATGAGAACTCATCACAGAGTTCCCAGACAAGAGCAGCCACAGCCATGCCCAGAGCAGAGCTCAGCCCCTGAGCTGTGCTCGGGGGTTCCTTGCCCCAGCCCGTGGGTTGTGCAGAGGTGCCATGGCCAGGAGTGGGGCTGGCAGCAGTGACCAGGGTAACTCCCAGTTCACAGGGCAATGGTTGTGCTGCACAGGAACCCTTGTGCTCCGTGCAGAAAAGCTCTGAAATCATAGTTTTCTCTAGGATCTTCTACCTGTGGGAGATGGAATGTCTCTCTCTAGGTGGCAGCATTGGTAAAGAGTCTCTGGGGTGTCTCTGGTGGAGCCAAGGTCTTGCCAGACCTGATTTCATTGATAATCCAGGGATTCAAACACAATTCTTGGCTCTCTGAAGCCCTTGGATAGTATATAGCCTGCCCAGCTGGTCCCTAAGTGTAGTCTCCCATGCAGAAATACCAGCACAAAGCTGAAACCCAACCTGGCAGGTTTGAGGGCACTTTGGGACTGGCCAAAACAGTTTGGGAAAATGCTGCACGATGATGGTTTTGGTGGGGTAATTCCATGTGATAAATCCAAAGTCTAATCTCTAGATCTTCAGCATGCAGAGTTGTGACTACTGAATTAAATGTCTTCTTCGGCATGTTCCCATCACAGCACTGAGAGCTGTGCCCAGGCTCAAATGGGGAAAGCACATGAGCTAAACCAGTTATATCAAATCAACCAATTCTCATTTGTTCCCTCAGTATTTTCACACACTGATCAGGCACTTATTCCCTTGCATTCCCCATCTGGGAGGCTCTGGGAAGATCCCAGAAGTGGTGAGCTGGAACCAGTGAGGAGCAGGGCCAGGCCGAAGCTAAGGAGTTCCAGTGAAGGAGCAGCTCAGGGAAGCATGGCAAGAACAGGATGGGATCAGGAGGTGGGAGCAGTGGGGTGGTATATATGGAGACTGGAAGGGATAAAAGCTCCAAAACAGTGAGGGATTTGGTTTTACTCCCTTTTTTTTCACAGGTTGTGATCATGAGCCAAAATGAACAGGGATAATAGCCCTATTCCCCACTCTGGGAAACAGCTTTATAGGTCAGCACTGAACCTGCTGCTCGTAGCATCCCACCTGCACTTCAGGTCAGTAAACTCCCGTTCTCCTCTGTGGCTGAACACTCAGCTACATACACACAGCTTGATTGCAGGCAGCAAATGAAGTTTTAATTAGGAGGAGGAATCCTAGTGAGGAGCAACAGTCCAGGTCTGAAATTCATCCAGGCTTGTGTGAGAGAAGCCAAAGGCACAGCTGTTGGGAAGGATTTGAACAGCAGCTGAATGATGATGATGATCAGATGCTTCAAGAGCTGGAGCATCTCTGCTCTGGAGAGGCTGGGAGAGCTGGAGGTGTTCAGACTGGAAAAGAGAAAGCTCTGGGGAGACCTCAGAGCCCCTTCCAGTCCCTAAATGGGTGCCAAGTGAGCTGGAAAGGGACTTTAGACAAGGGGGAATGGTGTCCCACTGCCAGAGGACAGGGTTAGATGGGATACTGGGGAGAAATTCTTCCCTGTGAGGGTGCTGAGGCACTGGCACCAGTTGCCCAGAGCAGCTTTGGCTGCTCCATCCCTGGGAGTGTTCCAGGCCAGGCTGGATGTGGCTTGGTGGAAGGCGTCCCTGCCCATGGCAGGGGGTGGAATGAGATAAGCTTTAAGGTCCATTCTACTACAGCAAGGCAAAGGCTGGTGAAAAAATCCTGCCTGTGGCACATTTAATTTGTCATAATTTGTACCTTTTAGAAGCAGCAGGATGAGATGAACATCAGAGGAGTTTGGCTGTACCTCATGGCTATATTTCTGGCTTAGAAAAACTTTGCACCAATGCAAATGCAGCTCCCTCTCCTCCTCTATAAAAACCACCTGAAATGACTATTAAGAACTTTCCATGCTCTGCTCCCTCGAGGTGCCTGCTTGGGTGCCACAGGGTGATACTTGGACAAACTGTGGCTCCTGCTGTGGTGTACAGCTCCCAGCCCCAGGTCCCTCCTCCACTCTTCCTGGTCCCTCCTCACATCCACAGCACAAAGGAAAGGAAAAAAAGGTAAGTTGTAGAAGGAATAAAAGGTAAAACAAGTCCCATGTTACAGAGAGTGAGAATGAGAAACTTTGAATCATTCGACTCCGTGTTTATCCACTGCTCCGGGGAGCTGGAGGGAAGTGGGGGAGTTGAGGAAGT